TTCCATCTATTTTAATGTATCCATTTCCATATATGGAGCTCAGATTTCGCAATATATAACGGATATTAACCTATAAAAAAGATTCTACAAGACAATTTTCAATTTATCTAAGGATGTTTATTTTCCCTTCTTACTTCTTCGTTTAAGAGTTATCCTGATATTGGATGGTACGCACTCTCATAACGATCTTACCTGTACATATTTCAGCCACATTAACTTGGGCAACCATATACATATATGAAGACCTATTGATGTACTTGAAATGATACAATACAAAGCATTTAAACGTGAACTGGGACAATTAGTGCACTCTACAGATTTTTATAGCAATAATTATTATCAATAAATAAAAGAAGTTCGAGATATTTTTCAACCGACTAGATTTCTCGATTTTAATACTCTTCAGGGCCAAGCGAGGAATAGAGATAGTGATTTTCTAAGCCCGGCTTAGATGTGGCACAAGGCCGAAAGTATTGGACACCCAGTGAGGAGCGAACTCACTACTCAGTGGCAATTGATCAAGCAAGACAAGCTTTCTAACCATTACACTACGTCGAGGTGCCCCCAAGCGAAGAATAGATTTATTATATATACAGTGATGTTCGATAAAATGACTCACCTGATTTTTTTTTTTATTTAAAATTTTTTTCGCCTATTGTTTTTGGGTTCAAACTAATTTTTAATCTTACTAATACAAATACCACTTCCGGAACACCTAGTAAAAAAGTTTACTCACCCTAAGGTATTCTATTGATAATTATAATTTTGGATATAAATGAGATTTATTGGAAAAACCTACGTGCAAAAAAAAGTGACACACTTATTTCCTGCAACTAGTAATCAATAGAAACATAAACGAACAGCTTTAAATAAAGAATAATAGAGGTATAATTTATTTATAATAGGTAATATAGTTCGAAATGTTTAATAATCTATGGGTCCTCCTTTATTTTGAATAACATTTTCAACCCTTTTTGGCATTGACTTGATTAGGTTCTGGCAATTCTCATCTCCAAGTATTGAACTCCATTCGGATATGAAATTTACAGTCAAATCCTTTTTTTTGCTCTTCTGCTTTCTCAAGAGCCTGTACTTTATAATGCTCCATAAGTTTTCTATGGGGTTGAGGTCAGGAGATTGGGGCGGCCCTGTCATAACACCCACCTGCTTCTCATCAAAGTATTCCTTCATCATTTTTTATTTATCCTGCATGAAAATGAGCTTGTTGGGATCGATTTGCACCCTTTCAGCAGAAGGGAACAGACAAGACTCTAAAATTCTTTTGTACTGCTCGCCCCTGAGGGTCTTTTCAATAGGTTTTAAGAAACCAGTTCCATAAAAAGAAAAGCATGCCCAGAACATTATACTGAACGGATGTTTGACAGTACTTACTGCTAAATTCAAAGAGTTTTCAAAGCTTCTTCTTCGGATTTTAGATCGCTTATCCTTTGAATTTAGCTCAACTTTCGTTTCATCGAACATTTAGTAAAAAATCTGGTGAGTCACTTTTATCGAACAGCACTGTATATATATTATAATATTATATATGTATACTAATAATTAGACAATATTAACATTATATAAATATATATGCTATTTTCCTATTTCTGCCAATGTTGAATTCAATAGGTGATTTTGAAATTTTATTCTGAAGAAGTATGACGTCACTTTTACAAGGATTAACTGAGAATGCAAACTCTGTCTTACTAAAGTAACTATAAACATTTTTTTTGCTATGCTCTGCCAGCTACAATGATGGAGAAAGCATTACCTCGAACCATTGCCAGTAATGTAGGTTTACCCCTTGAAAATTTCACCTTTTTTAAATTTCTCTTTGAGTAAACAAATGACGTCATATATTATGAAATGCAGTAAGTCCGACAATTATTTTAATATATTTATTGTTTATACGTCATTTTTATAGATTTAGTCCTTTTTGTAATATATGACGTCATTTGTTTACGTTACGTAAACAAATGACTTCGAGCAGATACGAGTGTCCGAGAGAAATCATCGGAAATTTGTAGTTTAAAAGCAGTAATTTTAGCTTACTAATCAGATGCTTCCTCTGTAGCTAAATGCACGTCAGTCTATATGACGGTTCGATGTAGGATACAGGTTCGATTCATACCGGAGGACATGTATTTTCTATAAAATTTGTCGGACATTCGGGCCGGCATAGGTTGTTATTACTATTTATTATTGTCATGGTCCAAGGTTAGGACCATGGAAGAACAACACGAAACACAACAGTAGAAATAACAAAGAATATATTACACAAGAAATAATACAAGAAGTGAAAGTGTTAGTAAGACTGTCCGACTGGTTTGGCGTGAATGCTATCAGCTCGACTCGATTCAATACCGTCCCAATACCAAATCCATCCGTCTCTCTTGAGAGGCGTAGTATGTATAGCCTTCGGCAGAGTTCATTCTGTCAGTCTAGGTAAGCACCATGACAATTATTTGAGAATTTGCTTAAATAATTGCATATATAAAAATCACATATATACAATAAATATATATATAGAGATAGATAGATAGATAGATAGATAGATAGATAGATAGATAGATAGATAGATAGATAGATAGATAGATAGATAGATGTGGGTGTGTCTAAGTTAAACAATATGAATCAAAACGTTAAGATATTCATTCACCATAATAATTGCTTATGTCTATGCACCTGAATAATTTTGTAGTCTTTTATCTCTGTGGGGTGTCAATCAATATTTCTCGTCCGAATTTATCTTACATATTTAAAAGTCTACCATACGTCCATGATTTTAATATTGCTGCTTCATATGGTCTGGTGCCCCTGATAATTTATTTAGATATCCTTGATAAAATCCAGATAAGAATCTACAACATCATTTGTCCTGACCCGGCATCTCAGCTTCAGTTACTTTCCCCACCGCACTAGTGTAACCTCTCTGTAAATTGTCTATAAATAAATCATGGTAATTGTCCTAATGAGCCCTTCTTTATACTGCTTAGACTGTATTAATTTCAGCGGTTTACTAGATTGACGACTACGTTTCATTATTTTGCAGTTGCAATGGCTAACTGCAATCGTAAGTTCTATGCTAACAGTTTTTTTTTCTCAAACTTTTCTCTCATAGGAGTCTCTTAAGCTTTCTTGCTTTCCATTTTAGTCTGGTCTTTAAAATTTTAATTCAAAGTCTGTCGTTATCTTCTGTCTTCTTAATGTCTGTACTTTTTATTGTTCTCACTCATTAATAATATATATATATATATATATATATATATATATATATATATATATATATACTGTACACTCAGTACCTTCTACGTGTTTGTGTTTTTATCTCTTGCTTGGGGTGAAGTAATTAAATAAAAATAGCTTTGATCATATTTCAACATAGTTTTTTCAATTTAAATTCAGTGTTTGATATTAAGCATATCGACAGAAATATATACAATGAATGTCTTAGATTTAAATCCAGGTAAGAGGTATGTGCAAGAAATCAGGTTAAACTATTTACCTTCATATGTGTACAGCAAAAATTCTAGGAATTAATGAGGCCAGATATAAAAGTAATAATAGTTTAACCCTCTCGCATGGTTTTGATGCCTTTAGAATTTCCACAAGGCAAAAAAAAAAAAAAAAAAATTAAAAATAAACCGAAAGTTATTACTAACCTAAAAAGAAAACAAGAATCATACAGTGTAACCCGGATATAAGAGACCCGGATATAAGAGAAACCCGGATATAAGAGAGATTTTCTCTGGTCCCAAATTAGAGCCTGTGTTAATGTATATAAAATAGACCAAACCCGGATATAAGAGAAACCCCGATATAAGAGAGATTTTCTCTGGTCCCAAATTAGAGCCTGTGTTAATGTATATAAAATAGACCAAACCCGGATATAAGAGAAACCCCGATATAAGAGAGATTTTCTCTGGTCCCAAATTAGAGCCTGTGTTAATGTATATAAAATAGACCAAGCCCGGATATAAGAGAAACCCGGATATAAGAGAGATTTTCTCTGGTCCCAAATTAGAGCCTGTGTTAATGTATATAAATTAGACCAAACCCGGATATAAGAGAAACCCGGATATAAGAGAGATTTTCTCTGCTCCCAAATTAGAGCCTGTGTTAATGTATATAAAATAGACCAAGCCCGGATATAAGAGAAACCCGGATATAAGAGAGATTTTCTCTGGTCCCAAATTAGAGCCTGTGTTAATGTATATAAATTAGACCAAACCCGGATATAAGAGAAATCCGGATATAAGAGAGATTTTCTCTGGTCCCAAATTAGAGCCTGTGTTAATGTATATAAATTAGACCAAACCCGGATATAAGAGAAACCCGGATATAAGAGAGATGTTCTCTGGTCCCAAATTAGAGCCTGTGTTAATGTATATAAATTAGACCAAACCCGGATATAAGAGAAACCCGGATATAAGAGAGATTTTATCTGGTCCCAAATTAGAGCCTGTGTTAATGTATAGAAAATAGACTAAGCCCGGATATAAGAGAAACCCGGATATAAGAGAGATTTTCTCCGGTCCCAAATTAGAGCCTGTGTTAATGTATATAAATTAGACCAAACCCGGATATAAGAGAAACCCGGATATAAGAGAGATTTTCTCCTGTCCCGACAACTCTCTTATATCCGGGTTACACTGTTGCATTTTAACGCAGAAATTGTGTACACACAACATCTTTATGCAAAGTTTTCGCTTTCGGGAGACATACTCACGCATATTTGTTACGCTGATTAAATACGGGAAAATTTTCAATGTACGGAGTGTAACAGCAAAATTGAAAATTTTCCCCAAGACAAGCCCCATAATGAGCCAACCAATAAACTATTCGCAGAGACCCAAACTACGGCACACGACCGCGATAGATGGAGGGGAATGGTGGACTGCTACGCTCGTTGCTGTTCCAACGACTCTTCTTGTGGTTAAGGGCGAAAAAAAGTAGTAGTAGTAGTCGTCTCATAATATGAATTCCAGAATTTCATGATA